CTAGACCTGCAGCCTTCAACATTGCTCTTGTTCTTTCTAATAGAGTTCTGTTCATCCGCTCTGCCACTCCATTTTGTTGTGGAGTGTATGCCGTTGTGAACTGCCTTTTGATACCTTTATGTTGACAGAAGTTATCAAATTCATCACTGGTATATTCTCCTCCATTGTCAGTCCTTAAACACTTGATCTTCTTTTCAGATTCAAGTTCCACCCGCGCTTTGAAAGTTTTAAAGACTGTAAGCACATCTGCCTTCCTTCTAATTGGATACACCCAACATCTCCTGGAGAAGTCATCTATGAATGATACAAAGTATCTTGCTCCTCCCAAGGATATAACCGGTGCGCAAGGATACAATGAGTGAATCAGGTCTAAGATGCATTTGCTCTTAGTTGTAGATGTGCCAAACTTCAACCTGTGTTGTTTACTTGTAACACAGTGCTCACAAAAAGGTAAAGTAACCTTTGTAAGCCCAGGGAGTAACTTCTGATCAGAGAGAACCTTTAAACCTTTCTTTGACACGTGACCTAGTTTTTTATGCCACATCATTTTCTTCTCTTCTGCAGGATTGGCTAATGTGATTGACGCTTCTGCCTCATGATGTGTTTCTCCCATTAAAGCAAATATATTTGCAACTGTCTTTCTTGCTTTTAAAACCACCAGCGCTCCTTTGATGATTTTCATGATTCTATTATTTGTTCGAATCTTACAACCAATACTATCAAATTGTCCTATGGATAAAAGATTCTTCTTTAAGTCTTTCACATGTCGCACTTCTGAAATAGTACGAATTAAGCCATCATACATCTTCAATTTGATGGTGCCAATGCCAACAATCTCTAAAGCATGATTATCACCCATGAACACTTTGCCTCCAGAGATAGGTTTATATGTATGGAACCAATCTCGATTAGGAGTCATATGCCATGTTGCTCCTGAATCCATTAGCCAGTAGTGAGCTCTTCTCTATCTGTAGAGATTGTTGCTGCTTCATTATATAAAACCTCTTCATCTTCGGAGGTGCTTGTAACATATCCTTGAGGTTTTGATGACTCTACAGTATTCTCTATACCCTTTTTAAACCAACAATCCTTTTTGAAGTGCCCCTTTTTGCCACAGTTGTAGCATTTCACAGCCTTCTTACTTCTTGATTTGGACCTCCCCTGCCTTTGACTCCCACTAGAGCCACGCTCCGTTGATCTTCCTCTTGACACCAATAATGCCTCTGCTTGGTTTGAACTGTTTCTGTCTCCTTTGTTTTTGCGCCTATTTTCTTCTTCCAAGATAGCGGCTGCAACATCATCGAAGACTAGATAATCTGAGAGGATATTATTTGTCAAGTTGATAATGAGCTGATCATACGAATCAGGAAGACTTTGAAGTAGAAGCTCTGCACGTTCATTTTCCTCTATTTGCTGACCCAATGTAGTGAGTTGTGAAAATAGAGTTCTTATTGTGTTGATATGGTCAGTCACCGATGTGGTTTCTGCCATTCGAAGGGTATAAAGTCTCCGCTTTAAGAAAATCTTATTGTGCAAAGACTTGGACTCGTATAGCTTTGTTAGAGTCTCCCATATCTCCTTAGCTGTTTTCTTCTCCGCCACACTTGATAATACTTCATCGGCTAATGCTAAATGTATGTTAGCAATAGCATTGCCATCCATCTCATTCCATTTTGCATCATCAGTGATCTCCGCGGGCCGATCCCCAATTGCTGCCAAGCAATTATCTTTCCTTAAGATTGCCTTAATTCTCATTTTCCAATAAACCCGACAAGACAAAAGGTAAGGAATAGGATAAAATGAGAAATGAGACACACAAGAATTTACATGGTTCATCCAATTTGGGCTACGTCCACAAGCAAGTATAGAAGGATTTTACTAAGTAATATGAGAATTACAACCTCTCTCAAGTAATAGGAGAACAATTAAAATCTCTCTATTACTAGGAGAAAACACCTCACTTACTCTCTCACAAATATCTCATAATTTTGTGGGATTACTCTCTCTTCACTCTACTCTTCTTTTCTCTTCTTTGGTGTGAATAATAAGCTTTGAGGCATTGCCTATTTATAGGAAGAGTGAGGGGACAAATGTCATAAATTATGGTATAAATTATACCAACAACTCATCTCCACTAATTTTTGTCTTCCACTAATTTTGTCTTCCACTAATTAATGAATATACTTAATTTAATTAAATATTGGTCATACAACTCAGACCCTGCTTAATTGAAAATTCATTTCAAAGATTATCCTATGAGAAAGTGTAATTCATTAATTGCATGTTCTTTCTCTACTGTCATTTGCTTTCCCATTAACCTTCATTGATTATGCCAATGAATGGAAGTCCTTAATTTTTCTTGTGCTCTCCCAAAAGATAGCCCTTTACTTTAAAAAAAAAATTGTGGAAATGCAACCAATCTTATGCCCAACAACATAAATGCTAGCCAATTTTGTTACTGACCTTGGAGAAAAGGTTCAGGTGCCCATCATATCATTTTTGGCTTCAAGTCCTCTTACTTGGATCAGGAGTTCATATTTTTTTCGCGCAACACGAAATGACTCAACTCAAGTGAATGTCATATTAGTTTGTTATTTCAAGCATTTGGATGGAGAGAAGCAGTACCCATCTACATTGATCGACAACGGATATGGACAGGGAATCATACCTTATTTGACTGGTGCTTTGCAGGCAGTAGGTGCTCGTATCACCTATCGGAGTGTCATTTCTACATCAGCCGCAAACGATCATATTGTTGAGGAGCTGTATATACAAGCTAATGACTATGCAAGCTAGAGTTTTCGTTGTGCACATGCATCCTTCTCTCGGCACTCGGATTTTTGCCAAAGCGAATTGAAAGAGATTGGAATGGTGAGTGAGGGCTATGTTTGGGTCATGGATGATGGTATTACTGCTGATTTATGGACTTCACCCACACTAACACAATGCAAGGGGTATTGGGTGTTAAACCTTATGTACCAAGAACAAAAGAGCTCGAACATTTATGGACTACGAGCCTATGATGCTGCCACGGCATTTTCCTTGGCAATTCAGAAAGCTGGAACTACAAATTTTGGCCTCCAGAAAGAAATGTTTCTCGCAATCCATCAACGGATCTTGCAACTCTTGGGGTCTCTTTATTTTGTCCAAACCTTCTTATAGCATTATCAAACACTAGCTTCAAAGGTCTTGCAGGTTATTGGATAGGCAGTTGCAACCATCGGCTTTCCAGATAGTTAACGTGAAGGGAAATGGAGTAAGAGAGATTGAATTTTGGACACCTGGAGGGCTTCTCAACACATTGGACTTAACAACCACCGGAAGCACGTACAGAACTTGTAATTCCAATCCTTTAACTATTATATGGCCTGGAGATAAAATTTATATTCCTATGGGTTGGGAGATTCCAATAAATGGAAGGCGGTTGAGGATTGGGTTGCTAATGAAGGGTGGATTCAACCAGCTTTTGACAGTGACAAGAGATCCCAAATATGACACAATATAAGTTTTTGGATAGTTGTTTTTGAAGCTGCAGTGAAAACTTATTTTTTTTTAGATTTAAAGATATAATTTATATTATTTTTTAATATATTTTTTTAAATAATTTTTTTTTTTGAATTTGAAATTTTTACAACTCACGTTTTCTTTTATTATTAATTCAATTTTAATTTAAAAAGAGAATGAGGATGGTGACTCGCGTAACACCAACAGCATAAATTTTAACAGTGGTAATAGTTCATACCGTGGGAACAGTGGTCCTTAACAGTGGTAATAGATCATACCGTGGGAACAGTGGTCCTAACAACAACAATTGGCAGCAAGGCCATCGTTCCTCTTCCTCAAATCAGTGGTCTAATACACGGTCTGTTAGGTGGGCACCTTGTCACTCAATTCAGCGGCGTTCCCAACTTCATAATCACAGATTACAAGCTAAGCCAACCTAGTTCTTAGCTATTAATTAGATTGTACAGATAATTTTGAAGGCGAAAGTGTTATCAATATATGCAGAGTAAAGATTATAGATGGTCTAGCCTAGCTTGATCCTGAATTTTCAGGACTTAAAGTCAAGCAATTAGTGAGGGATTCTGATAGTTTATTGCAAGTTTTTTTTTCAAGGATCAGGGCTTACACATGGACAAGTATAAATATGATTGTCTGGCTTGTGTTTGCAGTAGACTTGGATGAATAAAAATGAAGTATTTTAGGAGTTTTCCCATAGTTATAGTCATTGAAGGTTTTAACTTACAACAAACCTGGAGAAAGTCACCTTGTTTCATGCATTACTTCCAAGCAATCAAAAGAATATAAAACAGAAGTCGAAGATATTCTTATAATAGAGTACTCCAGTTAGGTCAGTTTTCAGAACTCATCATCCTTTGAACCATCAGCAAATGTATTAAAGTTGACACCACCTACCTCAATTTTAACTAGGCTAGATAAGTTAGATTAGTCATGTTGAACTGGAGAAAACGATTTGTCTTTAAAATAGATTTTGTGACGTGACAAAGGATGCTTCCTGTAATGGAAGCGATGGTTCCTGTTTATAAGCAAGTCAAGTCAATGATTGAATTTCCCATGCAAGACCTTGTCAGGCCAGTACAAGAATAATAACGAATGCAGTATTTTTATGATTGTTTGCCAAGAAAAATAAAACTTGTTGAAGGGATCTAGCCCTTGAAAATAACAACCAAGAATTTTAATTATTCTTAATTAGATTGAGATAAAGACTTCACTATTTTTTCTGTTCTTTTGGTTATATGGCGAGGTTAAGGAATTTAAAAGGTAGTCATTCATGTCACGATTAGAAAATTTAAAAGACTTAATTTGAATTTGAAGATTTCTAACCATTGAAAAATATTTTTTTTAATCATCATATCACTTCTTTTGTATTAGAATAATAACGCATGTAGTATTTAATGATTGGTTGCCAAGAAAAAAAAAGTTGAAGGGATCGGTTAGACTCTAGGTCGTAGGCCGACCTCATCGTTTCGAATTTTATAACTGTAGTTGAATCTTGATGATATTGGCTTGAGATTTCACTGAATTTTAACTGAATTAGGCTTCTTCTTTTTGTCTGTTGCAACAAGCAGGATTGTTTTTTTCTGATTAAAAAATTAATGCTGGTTAGAAAACTAGATGCCAATTTAACTACAAGCTTGAATATTCTATAATCATTGCAGTTATGTATTAGACTTTGACAAGGTAAACGGTGATGAAGTCAGACCAAGGGATACCTTAGAGTATAAGGACAACTCTTCAATATTTAATAAGTTATTATAGCTAGACACCCAAGTGCCTGTATTTTACATATTACTTAAAATGTGATTCAGTGACTAACAAGAGAATGGTACTACCAATGCAAATCTTCATAAAGTCTTTACAATTTCCTAGAAGTTACATGCATGATTAGGAAGCAAAAAATATAAAATAAAAAAAAATCATCCAATGGGATATTCTTCCTTCTTTCTTTTGACCTTAATTATAGACTCATATTCATTGCCAACTTGATTGATGTTTTGATATATAGTTTTGGAAATTATATATGTGTGTGTGTGTGTTTTGTTGGAGATAATAAGAGAATTAATGCCATTGAACATTTCTATATTTTAAAAATAGATAGGAAAAAGGGACATGTATTTTTAAAATTATATCTCTATATAGAAAAAGTATTCAAACACTAACCAGAGGAAATTAAATGTTGGACTAAATCAAATAAAAAGAATTTATAAGGGATCGGTGTGTAACAAAATTTTTTGTTTAGAGATTATAATCGAGTTTTCAACCTTGAGAAAAATACAGCTGTGCCCTTCACACGCATTGTTGTAAGATGTTCTTCCAGGCTTTACGAGTCCATCTTCCACTCCCAACAAACCTTATAAGTAAGAGATGTTGCCATTCAAGTTTCAACCAAACAAACTAGAATCATACAACACAACAAGATGAAGAAAATCCCTTCGAAGCCTTTTCTCTCTATGGTCTTTTTCTTTCTTTCTTTAAAGATTTGGTTCATAAAAGTGCTGGTAGCCCAGAATACAGCAACAATTCCAGTGAATGTAGGTGTGGTTCTTGACTTCGAATTTTCGGGTGGTAATATTGGTTTGACATGCATCAACATGGCCCTTTCAGACTTCTATGCCACTCATAGTGACTACAAAACTAGATTGGTCCTCACCACCAGGAACTCCGGGAACGATGTTGTTGGTGCAGCTGCGGCAGGTTCTCTCTGATCCCAGCTTTCTCTCAAACAGTTGATTTGATCTAATATTGAAAATTTACTCTCTTGTTTTAAACTGATGATTAACATACTTATGCATACAATTCAATAGTGAAAATTTATTCACTCCATGATGTGATCATGAGCCCTGCAACTTCCTTTAGCTATGATCTAATTAGCATTGCTACTGAACTATAGCAGTGGGGAAAATTTAATGAAATTAAGGATTTCTCATGAATACTTACCACATTATAGTATTATAAGGAGAGTCAAAAGTCATCCAAAAATTGTGGACTTGTGGCGAGCTTCCTTCTAAAAGTCATACATGGGAGCTGTACTCTATGGGACGTGGTTTGTTATTTTTTTACCTAGTGGGATGGTTATATGTGCAAAAACGGTCAGATGTGAATTCTAAATTTACATTTTTATTCTCTGAAAAATAATTATATTATCATGACCCAAATTCTAACTCTATAGCCGGTAACACTATAGCGATGCCATGGAGACACCCCACCCGTGCTTAACCTTTGAACACGTATGTATATCATAAAACAAATATACATAGAATTCACATAGTATTTTGTAATTTTTTAAATATTCCTCAAAACTAATAAAACAATTCATAATTTAAAATACTTAATACATTAAATAACATTCAATCTTTGAAGAAAATCTAAACTTCAATGAAAACAAGTAATAATTAAGTATCTAAAACATCGAATCTCAAAAAATAAAAAAAGCCTTGTGGAAGCAAGTAAGATATGTCAACAAATAAAATAGCGAGAACTCTC